GATAGGTGGGGGGTGCAGGAAAGCTTTCTGTCTCCCCAGAAATATCGTTGATGATAGAGCCGATGGCCGCCGCCAACTCCGTTTCACTGGCCTGATGGGCAGGTTTATCCCCTTCCTCCTCCTGACGAACCTCGGGCACGTCTGCCGGTGAATCCTTGTAGGCAGCAATCGACGGGGGAGTTTCAGTCAACTTTGCAATGTTCTCCACAGCCTGCTCGAGTTCAATCTGTTTTGCTAACTGGGCAGCTTCGGGGGACTGCTTTGGTTCCCGCGTCACCTCTTTTTCTGTTTCCGGGAATGAATCTTCCACCTCGTTCTTAGCAAAATGGGGTGGCAAGATGTCCTCTTTTGGAGGGCTCTTCATCTTGGCTGGCGACACTGCCACCGGCTCCACCTCCTCCTCCGTTGGCCGCAAGGCACCCTTGACCTCGTCCACGTTGAGTCGTATTTCTACATTTTTGAGACACACAGATGCTTTATCTACAACAGTTTTGGTATTTTTGTACCTTCCCCTTTTGGATTTTGTAACCTTTTCTGGTGCCGGCTTCTTCTCAATGATCTCAACCATAGGGACTTCTAGCTGGTTTTTCTCCACATCCAGTTCTTTCCTGTCACGTTTCTGTTCACTCACTGGCGGTTCCTTCTCGGTGGCTTTTGCTTTGTTGCTGTTGTCACTAGCACTCAATTCCTGACCACTCCTCTCAGCAGCATCTTCAGATTCAGTCGAGGTATCAGCTTTTGGTTCGTTCTTCCCTTTCTTCCCCTGTTGACTGGTAGCAGCCGATGAGTGACTGTGTGTTAGCTTCTGGGACCTAGGAGACCTCCAACCTTCCGCAGGCTTAGGAGCTTCCACAGCATCTTTAGTTTCAACTTCTTCCACCTCTTGCTGTACCGGTTCTGTCTTTATTGGAGAGATGTCCTCCTCTGGCTTACGGCGGGTTTTTGGAGGTCTTCCCCTTCTTGGGGTCGTAGGAACAGTTGTCACCATTTCCTGGGGTTCCTTCTCCCCTCTCTTCCTGGTGCATCTGGTGACCTCCACAGGGTCCTTCACTGGAGATGGGCCTTCATTGTCCCCTGTGGTAGCATAGACTGACCTCACATTTCTGCGCCTAGTCCGGCTTATTGGCAAGCTTGGCTCCACGTTTTCTGGCTCTGCAGCAGAACTAGGTGATTTAGCAGCATTCCTGGAAACCTTCTCTGCTTCCACTTTCAATTCAGAAAGCTTCTGTGTCTCCCCACGAGGAGAACTTGACCTTTTGAGTTTTTCACGGTCAATTCTTTCGCTCTTTCTCGTGACGGGCTTTTCCACAACATTGGCTGCAACCGCTTGCACAGGAGTCTTGGAGCGTTTGCTCTTGTAAGACTTTTTATCTTTTACAACAACTGGAGGTTCAACTTCCATATCATTGTCAGAAACCGGTGGCAGAACCTCAGCAGACACCTCCACTTTTTGACTCACACTGGCATCACTGTTGGCAAGAGGAGGGTTTTCTTCTTTAGGCTCAGCAATCTCATCAGACTTCTGAACTAGCTTGGGTGGAGGTGGAATCAACTGGGCAGCTTCAGGTTCTGGATCTGCACTGATGTCTGGTTGGGAATATGAAGCTCCAGGAGTGGGAGGTTTGGTATCCAGGTATGAAGGATGCTCTATTGCCACAGCATCTTCCTCTGGTGCCAGGGTTGTAGCAACAACTTCTTTACTAGCTTCTATGACTGGCGGGGGTTCAGTTTGCTCAGGTGGTTCAGTTTTGACAGGAGCAGCAACTTCAGGAAAAGGTTTTTGTTCCTCCACTGCAGAAGCAGGTTCAGATGTTTTTTCTTCTTTTACAGGAGCTGGTTCCACCAGCACCTTTTCATTCACTACCTTCTCAGAAGCGACTGGCGCTGGTTCCTGTGGTAGGACAGCCACCAAAGAGGGACCAACCACTGAGGAAGCTTTATGTTCTGGTTCTTTATTATCAGGAACCGTTTCTGGTGTTTTTGGCTGGTTTTCTTTATCTTCCTGTTTTTCCACTTCTTTTGGTTTCTGATCCTTCTCCTTTTCTTTCTGCTGCATTCGTGTCAGTTCAATAAACCGACTGTGGAAGAGAACCACAGGTTCTTGCACCAAATCAGCTGCACTGTTTGTCCCATCAGAGGATGACTGTCTCCCATACAATCTACCAGAAATGAAGTCAAGGTCATCATCTTTTCTCTCTAAATGCTGCAGGCGCTTAGAGTCCTGCTCAAAGATTGAACTGTGCAAAAAACGAGAAGCAAACAGTTCCTGCCTCTCTTGTTCCTCCTCTTTATGATCTTCTTTCTTATCATCCAGTTTGCCACCTTCTGAATCAGTCCTGATTTTTTTCTTTTTCATATACCAAGATGGAATAGGTCTTGGAGCTGAGTCAACCTTCTCTTTGTCTTTATTGTTTCTAAAACTAGCAAATCTTGAATCCCGATCTAGAAAGGACCAGTTTTCTTCTCTGGATGAAGAGAGAGATTTAGCTCTTTCAAGCAAGGCTTTTGTGTCTGGTGTGATTGTCTTGTCTAACGCGAAAGAGTAAAATTTGTTTCTTTCTAAGGAACTTGACAGTCTTTCCTCTCTTTCACGCAACTTCTCTTCTCTGTCCCTTAATAAAAAAGATAACCTGGAACTCTCTAACAAGGACGAGGCTTTTGGGGAATGGGGCTTGTTTTCACTGTCCTCATCCGAATCTGAAGGCACCTCCCCGGGTTCCAGGTCTCGGACAGATCGCTTGCGTATGCCGTCTCTTTTGACGATGCTACTTGGAAAGCTGATATCAACTCTGCCAGGCTCCTGCTTCACTTGTGTTTCCCACCTACTCGAGTCATCTTCAGAACTCAGCACAGACAGTTTTATTTTAGCCATTTCTGCCATCTGCTCCCTTCTGCTGGAATCATAAGGATTAAATTTCAGCGAGTCCTCCCTCACAGTCATGTTAGAGTACGAAAGACCCTTTTCTTCTATTTTAGGTGACTCTTTGGTTTCCTTTAATGGCATTAGCCTCGGAGAATCAAGTGTGTCATCATCTTCATGGAAAGGGAAGTGTCTGATACTGGGAGAACAGGACGTCCTTTCAGAGTCCTCACTCACCTGACGAGAACTTCTGTAGTTTCTTTCTCTTTTAGTGCTAATTTCAAAGTCAAACTGGTCAGTCTTTTTCCTTTTACTTGGTGGAGAGTCATCAGTGACGTCTTGTGGAGGTTTTCCCACCTCGTGAACCAAGCTCCGTCTTTCATATTCATCCACATCTTTCTTTGGACTGCCAAACTTCTCAGACTTGGCAATCTCCATTTCCAGCTGCTGTTTTAACCTGCGACTTTGCTCCATTTGTTTCCTGTAGCTTTGTGTGTGGTCGATGTCAATGCCAATTTTCTCCTCCGTATCAGTTGACTGAGGTTTCTCTTGGCCAAGTTTATGGTCAGGTGTGTCTTCAGGAAGACCAGAGTAATTCTTCCTCGTCTCCTCTCTCTCTGTTCCTGGGTCATCTAGTAGCTGTACCTGTTTATGCTGGGGTTTCACTGGGTTCAATTTTTTAGAAGAGAGTTCCTGAACTTCCACTGGTTCATCGGCTGCCTCCATCAGCCTCGCCTGCAGATCTGGGGTGGGACGCACGCCAATCCCACCAACGTTGAGAGTCTCCTGAATTTCTTTGGGACTAGTAACAGGAATAAGCCTTTCCAGTTTGAGTTTTTTAGATTCCCTTTTAACCATATCTTTCCTCAGGGGTTTTCTCTCCAATTCTCCTTCCCTTAACACTGGTGCTTCTCTAGAGGAGGCTGTTGCATCGAGCTGCTTTTTCAAAACCATGCGCACCTCTTCCTCATCCTGGCTACTTCTTTTTACTTCTACTTTTTGCCTGTCAGGCTTCAGATTTGCATCAGCAAAACGCCTTTTACGAGCCTCCAACTTGTCTAAATCTACTGCGTTGGCCCCCTCAGAAGTTTGCTCTGTCTTCAAGTGCTTTTTGGGTTTCAGTTTTCCCTCCTTATCCACCACTTCTACATGACTGGCAAGAGCTTTCTCTTTCTGTACCTTGGTTCTGACAGGTTCCAGTTTAGACTGCTCAGACTTAGTTTGCTCAGCTTGAGATGTCTGTGTTTTCTGTTCAAGAAGTGGAGACTTCATAGTGTCATTATCAAGCTTTGCTCTCAGTTTCTCCAAGGCAGGCTGATCAATAACTTTCCCTTCCTTCTCTTTCACTCGGGTCAACACGACGCAGGGCATCAGCTCCAGGCGGTTTTTAGCCGTCCCTTCCTTGTCAGCTCTCTCTTTACTTTGTTTACTGTTCCCCTTCAGTTTTTCAGGGCTGGGCTCTCTCTCATTCTCTTGATCCGTTTCAGAAGACTGAGAACTGGGTGAGTGGATTTTTGCTTTTCGCTTTTGCTTATCAGTTTTCTCCTTTTCTAGCTTTTCAGGTTTTTCCTTCCTCACCAGGCGCTTCTCCTTCTCCACCCTCTCCTGCTCGAAGATGCGCTCCTTCTCCGTCTTCTCGTTTTTTGCATATCGTTCCACGCGGGCTTTGTCCAGCTTGTCATATCGTGGAGGGGACAAGGAGCTGCAGCTGCCGCTGCGATCTGAGGAGCTGCTGTAAATCCTCCTCTCCGAGTCACTCTGCAGCCTTTCCGATTGCGAGGGGGACGCCCCGGGGCTCTGCGGACGCCTGGAGTGCGTTGGGCTCTGGCTCCGCTCAATCGGTCTCCGCTCGTGGTCTCTGTCCCGATCGGACTCTCGCTTTCCCTCTCCCGCTGCCTGTAGCTGTATTCCCTGATGTCCTGCTCGTACGGATCGCCCCTGTAATCCCTGTACTCGCGCGGGTCGTCGTAGTATCTTGGGTCATAGTAGTCTCCTTGGTAGGGATCCCACTCCGCGTAGAATTCCCTGCCTCGAGCCGCGTATTCTCGCCGAGGATCTTCAGGATACGTCCCTGGTGTCCGAACAGTCTCGTAGTAAGTACGATCTGGGGCATATTCATAAGATCCTCTTCTCTCATCTCTACTAAATATAGGAATAAACAGATTATTTTTCCTTCTCAACCAACAGACTCAACCACATCCTCTGCTGCATTGAGGAATCATTTAACGGCAACTTCTTTACATGCACACCAAGGCAACTGTTCCCAGCTGCCTGCTGAGGTTTAACACCAATGTGTGTGCAGTAGAGTAAATGCTTTGTCAGGGTTTTTTTGCAGTTAACCGGTCATTTTCTGACAGCTCTGCCAGGTATCTTCCACCACCCTCACAGTGTCTTTTTTTTGGCAAATTCAAATGTTCCATTAAATGAAGGTGAAACCTGCCCAGCATCTGTGCACCCACACTCAGGCTGGCACAAACCTGAAACCTACCTCTGAAAAGAGGTCAAATCAAAACTCAAGGGTGGAACCTCTCCGTTATTGAGCAGTAAAGTGGTAATAAGGTTTCCTTAAAAATTCTAAAGCCTTTAAGTGATCATTCAATTCCAAAATCAGCTCTTTCTCTGCACATGACATTCTCTGATGTCAATTTGCCTGTTTACACTAAGACCAAATCAACAACAAAAATCAGGTTGTTGGGTAGAACAGATGAATTCATGGGCAGGACTCAGGAGAGTCAGTCAAGCAATTAACATTATCTCAACACCTCCTAACAGCAAAAATAAACCATTTATAACCCTGAATGTGCCTCTCTGTCAGAGAGGTGGCACAGAGCTCCAATTCTCCACCACTGCACAGTGTTTTGAACACTCACTCTGTTATTTAGCTTCACTGTTTACGGTTTTTGTTAAAAACTGACACCTCCCACCTTTAAAGAAATGTACAAAATGGAAGAAGAACACAAAGAAACATAAGATGGAAGACAAGAATCTCATTCTGCAAGTGCAGTGAGGTTTAAAAAAAATGTATAATGGTTTTTGTTTGGGTTTTATGCTGTTGTTTTTTTTCCTTTGGGTCCTCTTTACATTGGCTACAACTACAACCTAAGAGCACCTGATAGAATCATTGCAATGGACCATGAGCTGCCAGGAGGAGCTTGAAGGAGGACTGGAAGATGCAGAATGACAAGACTGGCTGCAGAGCTCACTCAATCACTGTGACTCATTATTCCTGAGTATCTCATAATCACTGTGTGAGCATAATGACAGAAAAGGAAAAACAAAACTAACATGTACCCAAAGGATCACACTGTTCCAGAAATCAGTGTTCTACTCAGAATTATTTCACAGGGAGGACAAGCCCAGCTGACTCCTGTTTGTTATAAGAGAGCCAATAATGCACTTTTCTTGATTTTGGTGCAGTTTAGAGGAAATAATTCCTGACTGCTCTCTAGCACATCACAACATCTGGCAAAGACTGGGGAACACACACATTTATTTCCATTATGCAAATCCTGATTGACAATTTCCAAACCCTCCCTTGCTTTTAAATCTAACTATTTTGCATGGATGTTAGATTAATCTATTTTGCTGAAAAAAAACCCTTGAATTTATCTGGCTCAGTGTCACACTGGGCTTATTCACAGGTAAACCAGAACCCTAACAATGAAGCAGCCTCTAAAGGTAATAAAAATGCACCCACACAAAAAGAAAGTGCTTTTCAGCCCTCACCATAGTCATCAGGAATAAAACCACGGATGTTTACTCAGCCACTGGAGGGGAAAAAAGCACCAAATTGGAAGTGTTTCTGTGCCAGGCTGCTCTCAGCCAGGGTCTGCAGAGATCCATGGCCAGGCAGGGGGAAGACAAGCCTCTGCAGCACGGGCAAAATGGCTGGACACCCTCGTGACAGATGCTGCAGCAGAAGGGCATCAACACAGAGCACATTTTTCATGTCAAAGAGCAAAAAACAAAGACTGCAGCCTCACTCTGATTATTTTATCATGTTAACAAAGTAAATTGTTGAAAAGGGAAAGGTGGAAGATCAAATTTTACTCTGCTCAACAGAGAAGCAGCTTATCAGACTGTACGTCCACCCAAAAATACACGTCCATGTCTCTGGAGGGTCAGGGAAGGTGTTACTGAGAAGTGATTCTTTGCATTCCTAAGAAATGATGAATGACTCACAACTGTGTCCTGCTGACCCACCACAGTCACCGGATACCAAAGATATAGATCACACAGACAGCTGAAACTTCCACCTCAGTATGAATTTCAGGAACCAACTAAACTTCAGATGTGTGATTTCCTGACTGCTTTCATCTGTGCAGTTCAAGTCTGACCACCTCAATTTCTTCATAAAAGATAAACCGAATAGGTAAACAACACTAAAAATACAGCAAAATGTTGTTAATAAAACTTTTAAGAAGGATAAAGTTGAGAGGAATAGAAACAGTTGTTTGCTTAACAATTATGCCCTGAAGAAAGCTTTTAATTGCACTTAAGATGATGCTAGAAAAGTGAAAGACTGTAATAAAGATATGGAGACATGCCTTCTTTCTGCCAGCATTTCATAGAAGTCTCTGATATCTTGACCCGTTTTCTCCATGGAATGATAAAATGCCAACTGACTCTCCCGGTTTGCAAAGTCCACCTGAAAAATAAAGGGTAAAAAAAAATCACCTTCAGAGAAACAGCCCAATCTGACAACACTTCACTGTCTGAGGACAGGAGTGGAACTGAAAATGGGGATGATGGTATTGAACTAAAAATTGTTAAATGCTTCTCAGGACTGACGCTCAACACCCCCAAGGAGTAAAGACCTTTCCAAACTCAGTGTAACTGCTACATAACCACCTCCTTGCTGGGGCATGTTGGTGAAGCTGCCAGACCAGAGGCTTCTGCTCAGTAAAGCAGCAGGAAAAATACACTCGATTCTCATGGTATTGATGTTTTTAATACCAAGACTCCAATTACAGTTCCAAAGTCCCTTTCATCCCAGCACAGTTCTGCAGCAGGTCAGTGTTATTCATCTAGTTCAGACTCCAGGTTACTTGCCTGGGGTTACACAGCAAGGCAGGGATGAGAGAGGAACCAAGCCTCCTGAACTGCAGCTCCCCAGCCCAGCTACTCCAGGCTCTGTTTTCTAGCCCAGGGTGACAGTATTAAGAAGCCAATGGCATTGCTGAAGCAAAAAAAAAATTACTAGAATGGATGTAACTGTGTATTCCACATAAAGCAATTTTTAAAAACATTTTTGCTCCTTCTTTTAAAAAAAATAAATCACCCTGGGTATTTGTATAACCACAGCAGGGGAGCTCAGACATAAACACACCATGGGTGTTGCTTCTTCTGAAGTTGCTAAGTAGCAAGAACCACAAACAAGGTGTAAAACCTTTGAAATAGCCACACGTTTTACTGAAGATGAAGGTGACTTCTATTCAACCACCATGCTTAGAAACTGCAGCATCTCCAGCTCCTCACCCCAGTGGGTGTGAAGCTGTTGGTTAATATACCAGATGAGAGATTAGGCTGGAAATCATTACCCACTCTTTAGGAGAGAAGAAAGGAGGAGGAGAAAGATAATTCAGAGGGTTGGCTGACACCTCACCTCCCCAATTAGTGGAACTGATGGGACAGTTGGAACAGGTATTACCACATTCACCCAAATCCAAGATATCCCTGTGTTGCTCCAGGAAAAAAACTCCTTCCTATCTATTCTTTTGTGTAGTGTTTTTAATTATTATTTTTAAAAATCTGTTGGAAGGAAGGAGCTGCCACCACAAGAGAAGACTGCATGCTTGGGTTGCCCACAACTAGCACTGACTGCCTCGGCCAGGTCAGGAGCTTGGACATCAGCCTGGAGCAGCTGGAATGCAGCCACATGTCATCCCAGAGGAACTCAACCCCAGATTTCACTTCTCTAGCAGGAAAACGGATCAAAGTTTGCCTTGGATTCGGGTGAATGAGGAAGTAACATGGACACCAACACTGAGGAGCTCAGAGAGACGAGTTCAGTGAAACAAATGGCAGAACACTGGAAAAGGCTCAAGACACCCTAACATCTTGACAAGCCGAGTAGGAAAAAATAAGTGTTAAGCCTTTGATATCTGGGACAGAACGTGTCCCACTGAGTATTCCTTTCGCCTGGCAGTCTGCAAATGCCAGCACTTAAAGGGGTATTGGCCTGAATACAATTGGTTTCTCTTTTTGGTTTGGAGGTCATTCTGCACACCTTAATTTTATTCCCACCGATTTTCCTCCCCTTGGTCTCTTTTACAGCTGCTTGTGCATATTCAATCTCATTGTAGAGAACCAGGGCCATGCCTTTTAAGCGGTCAAACACCACCTGTAAAAAACAAAAAAACAAAACAAAAACCAAATAAGAGCCTCATCCACAGGACTTAATGTCAGTCCCAACAAAATCCTAAGTCATACCAGTGAGAAAACTCTTTTTGAGCAAGGTAAATTTCCAGGCTTTTCTGATGAGGTAATATTGTAATGAAGAGACAATAAAAGGACACGGGACTGCTTTGAATTGTGGATATTGTGGCTTGAGGTATATTATGCCTTTATTTTGTTTTTCTGTATTTTACTTTCAATTGTTTGGTGACTGAGTTTTGCAGTTTCTCTTTGTTCACTTTGAGGTTTGGTTTGGTTTTTTTCAAAATTTTCCAATGTGTTTGAGGGGGGAAAAAAGGTAAAGGGAACATTTAATCCCAAAATGGAAACAGGTTTTGTTATCCCAGTCTACAGTATCACTTGGCAGTTGCTGAAGGCCCAATTTCCAAAGGTCAGCTTCCTTTAGCAACATAAACTTCTTATTCAAGCAACAACAGCTACAATAAAGAATGTCCAAGCTGCAACACAAACCCACAAAAACCCCTGAAGGAGGCACGACCCTGATCCTGTGAAGATCTGCACACACTGCTTAACTTAAAGCACATCAATGTCCAACAGAATCACACGGGACAACTCAGGTGCTTAAGTTTAAGCAAGTGCACAAATCTCTGGCACCAACCCACAGCAGGGCAGGTAACACACCCCTGCTGTGTGACATGGGTAGGTTGCACCATCACTGACTGTCCCTCTTCTTTCAGGTACTTTTACCAGGTGGACTGTCCTAACTGCTTTTCAAAGTCTTTTCTTTTTTGTCTGATGCAAAAAAAAAAAGAAGAATTACATCTAATTCTGTAATTGGCATGCATGAGTGTAACTAGGTAATTAGACTGCTGTTCCTCCAGTGTTAGCCTTCTGAAGCAGTTTTGTTGGGGGGAGACTGCACTGCACAAGAGCAACAAATGGGTTTCCAATACTCATTATCTCGGCTCATTCAAAACACTGATTGTGTGTTTCCCAAACACCCTGCGCAGCAGATCAACAGGATGCACAACTGCAGAGCCTTGGCGGCCAAATCACACCCCAGAGAGAAATTTCTCTACCTGAGCTATAAAGCCCTGGACAGTGGGGGGACTGAAAGGACAGGATGGGAGGAAAGGAAGACAGTAACAACTTCAAACCACACGGCAAAGCCTCCCACCTACCTTTACCACAGGCCCGTATCGGCAGAAATGTCGGGTTAAATACTGATCCGTAACGTTTGTAGAAAGCCCATCTAACCACACGCAGTTTGTAGGCATGCTCTTCCCAAACCCCAGCTGAACACAAAAGGGCAAAATTTCCATCAGTACAAGTCACAAGGGTTAAACTAAACGAAGAGAGCAAGCCTAATTAAAGAGCTCTCTGCAGAAAGCTAGTCATTTGTATGGATCGTCTAAACTCAGCATCTTGCGCAGGTGCAAGAGGAAAACCAAACAGCAATTAATGAAAATAATTCTGCATGCTTCAACAAATACAGTGTTTGACAACATTTGTTTCTTCTACAATCTGAAAGCATCTGAAAAGTGACAAGTTGACAGCTGAAGGGACTGACAGCCTCTGTTTATCTGTTTATCTGCAGCAGCAGCACAGCTTCCCAGACACGGACTTGCAAGTCTACTCAACGCAGGGGCTTCTTGCTGAAGCAGCCAAAAAGAAGCTGATTAATCCCAATTATGGTGGTGGCTGAAAGCATCATGCTCTGATCTGACCTACTCATTAAAAAACATTTTTCTTACATCAACTGTGCTGCTGCAAAATATCCTATGATGCTGTAAACCAAAACAACAAGAAGGATACAGTCCAGGGGAGCATTTCTTTACCTTGAGCCGGTTATTTCCAAGATACTCCCCATCCATCTTCTTAATTGCTTTACACACACTTGCAATATCACAGTACTGCAGGAATG